AGGGAATCTTTTTTATTATTGCTTATTTCTCTTGATATTATCATTTAATTTTGCAAGGGAAACTGAATTTATTATTATTTCTTTATCTTTATATTAATATTTAATTAAGCAAAGAAAGCAATATTTATTAATTCATTTATCTTTATTTTATTATTTAATTTAGATTCGACAACTCTCAAAATTGTTGACAAACTAGGCAGATTTATGTGTTATTATTTTTAATTTTTTTTTTTAATATTTTAGAATCAAAATAAAATATATTTCTTTATTTCGCTTACTGTTATTTATTATATCTCTTTATTTATATTATTTGATTTAGCAAAGGAAACATTATTTTATTTTATTTATTACGCTTTATATTATTATTTAAATAACCTAAGGAAACATTATTCAATAGTCTTCCTTTGATTTTATAATATTATTTAATAAAGCAAAGGAAGCCATATTTATTGACGTGCATTTCTCTTTATATTATTTATTAATTTAGCAAGTAATTTGTATTTATTATACTTTCTTTGTCTTTATATTATTTATTAATTTGCTTACTCTTTCCTACGTAAATCTGGGGATCTGTGAGAGCTGGTAGACCTAAAAGCAGCCAAGCCAAGGTCTATATCAGGTGAGCTTCATTTTATAGACCTTTCACAGTTTCAATATTTATTCAAGGCAATATACATTTAATAATAATATCCTTGATATTGTTTAGAGAGTCAAGTAATCTATAGTTTTCTTTAATTCCTTCACGAATGCCAGAACTTATGATTATTGGAATTTCTTAGGATCTCTCTAGATCTTAGGGCAACCAAATTAATTTCTATTTTATTTCCTAAAGAGGTAATATGCTGCTTATAAGAATTCTGTACACATCTTTCTCAATATCTCAGGATCTTTAAGAGTGATTTTCTCCAAATTTTGTATGCAGCTGTTGCTATGCCTAAAACAACTAAATCCAATTGCACATTTGATAGGACTCCGCCCGCAGCTCAGTTATCTGAGATATATACCTAAAACAAATTGAAACCTTTACCTAGTTGCGCAGTGTTCCAATTGGACAACTACTTGGACTCCTTTTGGCGTCCGCTGACCACTTGTATTTCTCTCTCTCTCTCTCTCTCTGTCTTTCAGTTGGGGATCTGTCCATATGGCGACACGTTTGACTGACAGGCCACAATGTTTTGTTGCTGTTGGTTGCGTCTGGTTGCGCCTGCCCCCTACCCCGCTCCCGCTGCCGCAAACGCTGCTGCTGCACACCTGAACAGCGCGTTGGCAACTCTTTGACTGCGGTTTCTGCTTGCCCTCCCTCAGCTACCCCTGTCGCCCGTCAGCTCTTGGCTTGGCAAGCGTTCCACTTCATTTCTTCATTGCCCATTGTTCTTTGGCTGCGCTTCTACCTGTGCCTCCTGCTGCCACCATTCTCTCTTCTCTTCTCCTTGTCATGGTGACTCCCCCTCCCCTTCCCCGTCTCCCTCTCCAGCCTGCAACTGCTTAATCTATATGTAATTCAAGCTCTCGAGTCCGAAATGCCCAAGATCATGGATCATGCGATCACGGAATGTACTTTAATTTCCCTTCTTCTTCTTCTTCTGCTTCTTCTTGTCGTCCATCATTGTTTTGATTTTGTTTTCGTTTTGATTCGTGTCGTTTGTTTGTTTGACTTTGCCACCCCCCACCCCCCCCCTTCCCACCTACCTCTCGTCATTCCCACTCATCGTCTCAAGATCAGAAATTCATTTCTGCCTCAACGATTGCCAATCGATGCTCGCCCCCTCAAGCGATCCGTTTTCGCTTGGTTGTCGGCCGGAGGGGAGAGTCGGGGGAGCCGGGGGGCCGGGGGAAACCCGATACGAAAATCCACTTTTCAATATTAACGCACTGAACTGAACTGACTTTCTGTTGGCCTTTGGCTTTCTACACTTTTCACTTGATCGCATTTGATGAGCGTCTCGACTGATTTGTTGATAGGTTCAAGATTTACACAAAGTGCGCTTCAGTGGGCAACCTTTGAATTGGGGCGGGATGAGTTGGAAATATTTTAAATAATTTATTAATATATGTACTTTATTTTGGTGTCTTTTGATTATTTTAATATATTTATCCAAATCAGAAATATATTTAGTTTTGTTATGTTAAAGAAATGAAAGGAGAGTTTTTACAGGTATGTAAATTAGTTGATTTTAGAGTGGATTTAATAGATTAGAAGGAAATGCATACGTTACAAACATTTAAAACAAACTCTTCTTTTCTTCACACTCTCTCGCTTTTGTTTTGTCAATTCTTCTTTACGCGATATCCTTAAGCGTTTTCTAATCAGTTTGATAGTTTAATCTTCGTCTTCTTCGGTCCTTTTAACTCTGTCTTAATCTTCTTCGCTCTCTCTCTCTCTCTCTCTCTCTCTGTTTCTCCTTCTCTCTTTCCCCCTCCCTTCTATCGTTACTTCTCTATCTCTCGCTCCCTCTCAGTCAGTCTCTAGTTCTGTTAATCTCTATTTTACGTGCTTTCGCACTATTTTCCTCTCTCTTTCTCTCGCTCTCTCCTCCCTTCTCTCTCTCTATCTTTGTCTCTCTTCCTGCCACTCTCCCTCCCTCTCTATCGCTCAGTCGGTCTCTATCCTTTTAATCTCTTTTTCACCTCTCTGTCTATCTCTCCTCCCCTCTCTCTCTTTCCTTCTCTATCTCTCTGTCTCGTTCAGTCAGTCTCTATTTCTTTTAATCTCTATATTACTCGCTCTCTCTCCCGCTCTCTGTCTAGTGTGCCATTTCATTAGCTCTCTGTTTATCTTTTTATCTTATTCCTTCTGCTGTTCCTCCATTCCTGCCATTTCTTTTTACGACATCCTTTAACGTTTCTTTAGGCGAACAAGAGAAATGTATATAAATAGCTCTGACTTAAACTGATTAATATTTACAATTTGTAGACTGAATTATTCCTATTTATAATCAAATTATGAGATCAAAGTATTTCCAAGCTCAACTCAAAGCGTCTGTAGGCAAAGTTCTCCAACAATTAACTCAATTTTTATCAATTCCCAAGTTTACGCAGGAAAATCAATAGAAAAAAAACTTTAAAAGGTGATTGGTGGGCGTGTTGGGGGGTGGGGGGTGGGGGGTGGGGGGTTATCTACCCCCCAACTTATATATGAATATATAATTTGGCTGCGTGTCTGCCTCGATTTGGGTTCAAGACACGCGTCGACTTATTGAATCTACCGGGCAGATGCTGAAGACGAAGAAGAAGAAGAAGAAGAAGCAGCAGCGACAGCAGCAGCCGAAGACAATTTCCCAGCAGCAGCAGCATTTTTGCTATTAATATTCATGGAAATCCAACGAAAATTTATGCGTCAAACTGTAAAATTAAAGCAATTACAGCAGCAACATGATTGGTGGATTGGAGAGGGGACGGGGCGGGGCGGGCGGGTAAAAGATAATTACATGAGATTTGCGTGTTGGTAGGCGTACGATTTACTAGGCCCCAAAGGCGTGGCATTTAGCGGCATCTGGAGGCCAAAATTCAAATCTGCAGCTCGAATCGCGCTTACCTCTCGCTCTCTCTCTCTCTTTGTCTCTCTTTTATTTATATGCAACGCCTGTCGCATCCGCAGGAGTCGCCGCCGTAGAAGAAGAGGCAAACGTCGCCTGCGGCCGATAAATTCAATAAATATTGGAAAAGTGCGTAGAAAAAAAGAATATTTACAATAATTTGAATTTCATTTTTCTACTCTTGCGATTTGTCATGCAAAGCGCGTGCCTGGCTAGTGTCATAGTTTTTAGCTTTTTGTCGTGCTCAGAACAAGTTTACAAACTGGTTAGCTGTTGGGCAGCGGGGTGTGTGGGCGTGCGGGGTGTCCACTTCCAACGGCAGCTTAAGCAAACATGAACTCTGGCGACAGCGCAAAAGAACGTTAAAAGAGCTGCACAAAGCAAGCAGCAAGAAACAACACACACACACACATGTACCCACAGGCACACACACACATAGCGCTTAGCGAAACTGGTTAAAAGTAGATCTCGTCGCGAGCGATCGGTAAAACTTAACGAAACTTAACTCTACAAGCGACTGCCCCAAGCGCCAACTGGCAGCTATAGCCATCTCCCTCTCACTCTCTCTCTCCCTCTCCCTTTCATACACTTCAAGACGTTGCCCCTGCGCAGTGGGGCCGCAACTGCTTGGCTTGAACGTTGTTGAATTGTGTTTGCGCTGCGGTTTTTTCTGTTTTCAGCTAGGCCAAGTCAACAAGTTTCAAGCAACTGGTTTTTCCTCTGCGCCGTTTTTCCTAACAAACTTGTTGGCCAGGCCGAAACAAGTTTAAGAAACGCTGGCAAAACGCGCGCAAAACGCTACGTGTTGCTATGCCTTTTAACATGCCTGTTAGTTGACAGAGATTGCGAGAGCGAGAGCGAGCGCGCGCTGTTAACTCTGTATGCTTCGTTAAGTTTGTGCATTTCGTTAAGCTGCTAACGCTGCCGCGCTCTTAACAACGCGCTCTTTGCGGCAACGTTTCGCTTTCGTCGTTTCATTTGCCGAAGTCTGCTTAAAAGCAGGCAATACAAATGCAAATAACAGCGACTGTTAACACATCTTGTTAGCATTAAGACTCCTGAGTTTTGCAATTGGCTTAAAATATTTTTTAAAAAAGCGTGTAGTAAATACTTATTATTTAAATTATTTTTTTCGGGGCAGCTACCAAAAGTAGCTTAACATTTGCTAACAATTATATAAAATTATATATCAATTTGGCATTATTTTAATATTAACTGCTTTTCTTTAAAAGCCAGCAGATCGCGCTCTTTTTGCCTGGATCGCTTGGCCTGGCCTGTTGCTGCTTGCAGAACAACTAAAACAAGTTTTTTGTTTTGCTTGAAGAGCGCCGCGCAAAGAGCGCGCTGTTAAGTTGCTTGTGCAATGTGAAAGAGCGCATCGTTTTGTATACAGTTTGACGCTCTTCGCATGCCATTTACATCTTTCGTTTCGTCAATTCGTTTGCGTTAACATTACTCATTCTCTTTTCGTTTGCCGCTACGAACAGACGTGTCGCGCTGTCGCTGGGCTTAGCAGCTGCAAGCAACAACAAAAACAAACAACAATTTTTGCGTCGCGTCGACTCAGCTGCCACTCGCATTGTTTACAAGAAATAAACAAACATATGTGCAAAAGTTAAATAAATAATTAAAAGCCATAGCAAATTAGCTAATTGCAATAATAATAACAACAACAAAAGGTACTACAAGTGGCTGTATGTGTATGTGTGTGTTTCTGTGTTAGTGTTGCATAGAGTGCCAAAGTCAGCAGAAAGAAAAAAACAAAAAACAACAAAGTAAAACTATTAACGAAAGCTACCAAAGCAAACCAAACGAAAATCAAACCCAAGCAAACCCAACAGCAGCAGCAGCGCAGCAGCAGCAGCAGCAGCCGCAGCTGCGTCATCAACAACGTTGCGCAGTTCAAGTCGACGACGCCGGCTTTGGCATCATTAGTTTTGCTTGATCTCGACTGACGCCGAGCTGCTTGCGCCTGCAGCGCAGCTCTCTTACCTGTCAAACAGGTTTCCAGACATCAACAACAACAACAACAGCTAGCATAAGCAGTGTAAGACAAAGTAGAAGAAGAAGAAGTAGCAGTAGCCGCGCGCGTCTCGCAACCAACATAAAAAAGGTTTTGTGTGTGTGTGTGTATATGAGTGTTACCTGCAAATGTGTGCGTAGCTGCTTCTTGGAAACCTTTCAAGCGTCGATTGTCGTCGCCTGCATACAACTACGACAACAACAACAACAACAACATTGGTGATTTCTGATTAACAACAACAACAGCAGCAGCAGCAGCAAGAGCGCGCAAAGCAAACGGCCGATTATAACAGTGAAAAAGTGTGCGTGTTTTTGTGCTTGTGTATGTGTGTGCGTAAAGTGCAGGCAAAGGCAAAGAAAATGCTTGAGGTTTAAGACCTGGCCAACTGAAGGGCCAACAAACCGAACTGCCGCACGCAACAACAAGAAGAGCAAGCAGAAGCGACGCCATTTTGAATTTTGAATTTAGTTGTGTTTTTTGTTGTTGGTTGATTCTAATTTCCAACTCGGTTTTCGTTATTTTCCAAAAATATATATTGTGTTAAAAACATTTTTGGCCGCAATGTGGCGCTGCTGTGAAGCGCGCTGCTAGACCAGCAGCAGGAGAGGAGTGAAGGAGTGCAGGCGACAGCGGCTGAACTTTTACCGTAACGATTCGCTTAAGAGAGTGCGAATATATTGGAAACAAAAACTTTTTGCCGAGACAAGCGTCAACTGCAGCTGCAGCGATAAACGCAGCGCTTATAATAACAATAAGAAGAACAACAACAAAAACAGTAAAACGACAAGATGAGAGCAACAACAACAACAACAGCAGCAGCAGCAAGCGCAGCGAATGCGACAGCAACAACAAAGCGAAGCAGCAGAAGAACCAGCAGCAACAGCACAGCGCAAACATATTGGAAATTATTTTTTATCGGTAAGTTGGAAGGCGTTTGTAAAAGCAAAGCGAATTGAAATATGTAAAGGCAATAAGGGATTAGCAAGCAGGTGGAGAGAGTGGGGGAAAGATGAGACTTGATAAGAGAGAGAGATCTGAACTGGGATTAAAAAGTGTTATACAGGTTATCTTTGCTGGCAGATCATGTTGTTGGGCAGCAACATCAACAAACGGAGAGGTATCATATTTAATATTAAGGTAATATCTCAACAGAGAGGGAAAAGTTTTATACATGTTATCTTTGCTGGCATTGTATAAGAAAGGGATTATTTTATGTGAAGTCTTGTATTAACAGAGTGAAAAGTGTTATACAGCTTATCTCTGCTTAAAGATCATGCAGTCCGGGCATTGTATAACAAATGGGTTATTTTATGAAAAGTCTAATTTTTAAGGGAGATATTAACTTTGAGTTAAAAGTGTTATACAGCTTATCTCTACTGCCATCTCATGTAGCCGTCTGGCTAGTTATTTTATAAAAAAAAAGTGGCATATTTTATGAAAAGTCTCGAATTTAATATTTATTAATATATTTAATGGGCTGCGTTCTGTTTTCATTTAATTGAATTTCTGTTTTCAATTAATCAATTTGCTTTATGAATACATAATGCTATACATATGAATAATTAATTAGTCGTGTGGACAAAACATTTGTTTACAATTCTATTTGCCTGGGTGTTATACTGTCTGGTAGGGGAATGCGTCCTTCTTAAGTGTTGACGCACTTCCGGAATTCCTAAAAAAAAATGACCATAAATAAATATTTGAAATTAACGATTTTAATTTCCGGCAATTTCTATTTCCACTTCATTATTTATGCGCCCGTCGTCTAAAGATCTAATGAATCCCTTTTATAACCTGCTTGAATGCATAATATTTTCTTTTAGCCAATAATTTCTATACTTATAGCCTGATATTACTCGAAGTCGAAGCAGCAGCTCACTTTATAATTATCTTTCTCTCTTGTAATTTTATCAAGTTCCGCTCTTACAAGTTTTTCGCAATTCTTTTATAAGACTTTTTCCCAAATTGTATTTAATATCTCGTTGTTTTATCTGGAATAGCTTTATCGCAGCTTCAATTCTCTTTTATCTGTTATATCTTCTATCGAAATTAACTCTCTTGACTTGACACCTGAAAAGCCAACATCGAGAACAAGAACTAAACCAATTGTAAATTTTTTCTAAGCCACTTTTCAATTTTATTTCCGTATTTTCTTAGTTTTATTTTCATTTTTTGTTGTTGCTTTTTCTCCCATTTCGCAGACAAGTTTTGTTTATGACAGCTTCCTCGCAGCATCATTTCCCCCCAACTACACTCCCTCTTCCCTACTCTCACCACTTCCGGTGTGCACCTGTTGTTGTTTTTGCTCTTGTTGTTGTTGTTGTTGTCGTCACGTTGCGTTAAGTCAAGTTTTTAGCTGCTGCTTTGACGTTGGCGTTAAGTTTTTTTTCTGTTCTTCTCTTTTTCTGTTGTCGTTCATTGACAGTTTTTACCGTTGGCTTTAGTCGTTAACTTCTCCGCTCAGCTACTGGCTCTCCCTCTATCTCTCTCGCTCTCGCTCACTTGCTGTCTCGCTCGCTGGACCATTTTTGGTCTAAACTTATGTGTGACACAAACTTTTGTGCCCCCCTTCCCCTGCCCGCTTTTACCCATCTCCCGCCCTTAAAGTAGTTGCACTCCATCGTTCAATCACTCAATCAATCAGTCAATCAACACAATTTCAATTTGTAAGCGTTTAACAAGCAATTCCCAATGCCCAACACAAGAATCTTTTGACACTCTACAAAATATGCGGCGGGCCATTAGTAGCCGCAACCCCCCTCCTGCTCCCCCTGCGCCCACTGTTGCCCTTTGATAGTAGCCCCCCTCGGCACAAACTGAAAGTTTATAGCGCCCGAGTCTTTTATTTTCCCCCACCTTTGCCGCGCGCGTTTGTGTTTATGTTTTGTAGTGTGTAATCATTTAATAAATAAAACGTCTTGATTTGACATTTTAATTGGACCTCTGACACACACACACACACACACACACACACACACACACACACACCCGCTTACCCGCAGCCCCTCGCCCTGCTTCTCTGAGCTTTTTGTCGCCAGGGCAGAGTCAAAAATCAATGAACTCTCTGCGGAACTTTAGCGGTAAACGATCTCTGGGGGCACTATTTTATTTGACTGTCAAAACCAACTGCTAGAGCAAAGGGTATTCATAATAAGAAAGCACAGTTATGCTTCAGGTGTCGAAGGTTAAATACACTGCCAGACAAGGGTTGATATTGTTTGAGATATTATCTATATAAAAAGAACAATTAATTAGATATTGTTATATATGCCATATATATTATTATAACAATAAATAAAATACAATATTTTATGGATGGTTTTATATCTGGGTTTAGATAAGCTGTCTTAACGTTCAGATTAGATATATATTATATAGTTGATAATTAGAATTCAATATTATATAGAGGATTATTAATCTGGGCTTAGATAAGCTCTCTAAACACAGCGAAAATCTGGGGACGTGGTTTGTAGACGATCTGGACTTAGATAAGCTGTTTTAGCATTTAAACAAAATCTTGGTAGTATATTTTTTCATTTCGAACTTTTTTCAGGCAATTTTTATGACTTTCATCAAGCTGATTTTGCGGCCTTTTTCAATTGAAGATCGACGCTCGCTTCTTCTCTAGTTTGTAGATCAAATGCGATGTCTAGATCACAATACCCTCTGTTAGGGCATAATTGCGCATAATATCACAAAAAGGCGACAAAACAACGGCGAAAGACACTTTTGCGCGAAATAATTAAAAAGCCATTAGAAGAGCTGAAACTGAACGGGCTGTGGAAAATGCACGGAAAATAGCCTTTGCGCCGCGGTCAATTGTTCTGGCTCGTATCAATAGTTAATGCTATTAACTGTCTATGAATATCAATTACAATTTGTGTGCCTTAAGCACACACACACTTGCACACACTCACTTGCACACTCTCACACATGCCTGCGCACACTTCATAAATAGTTTTCCTTTAAATTTCCGTCGCGTCTGCTTCTTCTTGCTGCTCGCTCATCTCGTTCTGCCTTAAAGTGCCTTTCAATTTGTGTTTTCACGGCAAGACAGGATACTTAAGAGGCGTCGCCTCGTCGCTTCACTTAGTTTTCCCATTTTCCTTTTTGGGTTTTTATGTTTATTCTTGTGCCTTTGCGTTCTTATTTTTCGTTGTTGTCGCTTGCGCTTTGTTTTATTTATGCCTCGGTTTTTTATTCTTATTTTCTACCTGCCGCTCGCTTCGCTTTGTCCCGCTGCGTTTTTCCTTTGAGTTTTCCCACATTCATTTCATTTCCTGGCCAAGTGCCTGTACCTCTCTGCCTCTCTGCCTTTCCCCCTCCCTCTTACGCTCGCGAAAGGCGCGTGAATTATGATTGTGGCTCGTTTTTCCAAAAAACAGTTTTGGCTCTCGCATTTGTTGTTTTTGTTTTTTGAGTCCTAGCGCATCCTTTGGATACACACGCGTGCAGCCTGCGGCGCACGTTTTACCCCCTCCCCCCCCCCCCCCTGCGCCCCCTTTATACCGCTCGGTTGCATGGCTTTGGCGAAAAAGTGGAAAACGAGCAACTGCTGCAAGTTTGAAATTAAAATAAATTAAACAAATATTTTGTTTGTTTGAAAATTTACGTGCAAAACGCGGCGGAAATGCCACGAAAAACGAGGAAAATTCACAAATGCAACAGCAGCAAATGCCACACCAGCTGCCCCGCACATCCTGATGCACCCCCCCCCCCCCCCTACCACCCCTTCTGCAAACCCCGTTTTAGTTTTAGTTTTTCGGGCAAATTGAAGTTCTCTGACAATTTGCATTTGAAATAGTAAATCAAAATTGGGTTATGTAAATATAAAAATACCAAAAAAAGGATATATCTATAAATTTGTACATAAAATAATATAACGCAGATATACTAAATATATATGCAGTATGCTATGGGCAGTTTATATGCTCGTACATCATCCATCAATCAAAGTCACGCCTTTAGTTTTCAGCATTTTCCATATTTATTCAAGCTCTTCTGTGCTTAAATTTTAAGCACGATAGAATATTTCTTTAAAATATTGAAAACAATATGAGGAGCTCAGCTGGATGCTATATATTTTGGGAGATTATTGAGTTTTGTAGGATTTTTTCTATATTTTTATTCGGCTCTTTTATCTCTATAAATCAAATTGTTTGTCCTGACTGACTGGATAACGGTACATTAAGTTTTTCATGGGCAGGAACTGGGTGATTAAGTTGTATCTAAAATTGTAAGCACAAAACTTAACACGAGCAACGCCGGGCAATTTCCGTTATGTATGGAATATAAGTATTTATGGTCTATTCTAACTGAATACAATGTTTTAAGTGTTTTTAAGGCAGATTTAAGGTTGAGGTTTTGTAAGTATGAGAAAGTAAATTCTCTAAAGAAAGTCTCTAATTTCTGCAAATTTTCTTATTCCTTTCAAGTTCAACTTTTCGAATGAAAGTTTCTTCAAATTTACTTCTTATTAATATTTGACATTTGACCAACTGCTACAGCTAATCTATTTTAATTGAAAGATGCCTCTAGATGAAATTTTAATAATAATATTGATCTATTTAACTTCGCTTGAACTATTTTCCTATAGGAATCGTGCCACTAAGATGCCCATAAAGTTCTATTTATAACACATTTTAAATGCCGTAATTTTGGTTTTCCAGCATTTGCATACGTTTTTATTTTCATCGATAAAATTTCGTTTTAATTTTTACCGCCGCCAGATGGCGTCTTATGCAGCTCTTTGAAGTTTTCTATTTATCTCGGTTGGTCTCTCTCTCTCTCTCTCCCTTCTCTCTCTTTGGCTATATCCATAACCTAGGCTGTGCTTCTTCTTGCCCTTTCTCTCTTTCCATACTCTCCCTAGCATCTGCGAGATTCTCTAATCTCCTGTGAGTTGTTTTTGTTTTTTA